AATAGCACTTTGTGTACTATATTGTTTTCTAAAACCATATTGTTTACTGTTAAGAATATTATTAATTTCAAAAAATTCGGCTATTTGTAAGCAAAGCGCTTTTACAAATATCTTAGAAAAGACTGGCAGAAGTGCTACTGGCCTGTAATTATTTAAATCGTTCTTATTGCCCTTCTTGTGTATTGGTACAATCAGGGCTTGTTTTAAGGCACTTGGAAACTTTGCTTCCCGTAGGCTCATATTCAGTAATTTTGTTAATGGTATTATAATTATATCAATAACAAGCTTGATTAATTGAATATTTAGACCATAGGTGTCTTGTCTGTGTGTGTTTGATAATGATGTAATAATATCTCTAACTTTAATACAAGAGATTGGTTCAAATGAGAATATCGGTAAGGTACCAGTGTGTATATTACTTAGATATGAGTTTTGTGGATTTCCATCGTTATTCCTGGTATTCGATAATTTTTGGATATTCGTGGTAAAAAACGTGTTTACTTTATTTGGAGGGATTTAAATAAAATTTGATACATAGCCACTTGGAATAAAAGCAAATGTAGCGCCATTTTCCAAATTTGGTTTTGTGTAGGATGTGCAGTGCCAACTTTCTTATTTATGGAAGCAATTAAATGAAATTTCATACATACACACTTTAAATAAAAGCAAAACTAACATCAGGTTTAAAATTTGGTTTTGCACATTCTATAGCCATACCCAGGAGCTCGTTTGCTATATTTGTTTAATTTATTTAAAAATAAATTGACGGATGCAGTTTATACATAGGTACATTTTTATAAAATAAAAAAAATTACAATTTTGTAGGTGTTAAAGTAAAAAAGCATATTAACTAAAATGTAAAACGCGAAAGTATATTACTACTATTAACTTGTATAGGTAAATTATTAAATGTATGTTAATTCTAGTAGATGGGTCCGTATTACATTTTTTGTTTTTCAGGTCATCACATATGTGTGGTTCAGTACATCATAAAATGGCCACGGCTTGTGTCAATGTACCCTACAACATCTCTTAGAACATTTTTTGAAAAAAGTTATGTGTTGCGGCAGTGTACCTATTGAGCAGGTGATATCTAACACATTATTTTTAACATCAAATGGTTCCAATACTATAAGTTTTCACACTGTGGGTATTGCTTTCTTGAAACTCGCGTTTCTTTAAACTGGTTAACAACTAGTTTTGCAAATAGTGACTTCTCTTCTAAACTTTCAAGATACATTAGTAGTAAAAGCCTGATTATCTTTTCTCTGACGGCACAATGCTGCGTTCTGATTGGCTGCGGCATTTTGTGGCGGTAAGTTTGATTTTATTTTTTTAATTTCCGGATGTCGGCCATTTTGTAGCGGTAAGTTTGAATTTTTGAATTTCCGGTTGTCAGCTATTTTTAAGTTCAGTTTGAATTTCTGCGGGGAATTTAAATTTTTTACTGTGATTGACTGTGTCGTTTTAAATATACAGAGTGTAATGATAATTATATACAGGGTATTTGTAATCGATTTTTCTGGTGCCAAAAGGTCGTTAACTGGTCGACCATTTTGTAAAGACGAGATCAAATTGAATCGTGTATGTCGGTATATCTGAAATTAAATATACACGGTGTAATGATAGCTATACATAGGGTGTTTGTGTTTGGCGATTTTGCTATAATGGCACTAATACGCTAGCCATTTCATTTTCATGTGTGTACAGGGTGAGTCAATGATTGCGCGGAGTAATCTAATGCCTTGAAGATAAGATTTTTCGATAGAGTGCTTTTATATTATGATATGGTTAAATATTCTCACTTTTAAAAAATATTTGGAATTATACAGGGTGCGCTGACAAAGTACGGCACCAAAATGGTAAATTTTTTAATGGAACCCGTGTTTTTTAGGTCCAAAGTTACAAAACTTCATATTAACCACACTTTTTTGAATGGAACACCCTGTATATTTTTCTGTCATCTTTTAGGTCCTCCAAAAATCTTCAACTTTTGATAATATTGCCCTATGCCCTATACCTATCTCTGATACTTTTAGAAATATCTTGGTTTTCCTTGTTTTTAAATAAGTTATATGTAATTTACATAATAACGAGAAACGCAGGTAGTGTAACTGGCGAAAGTGCAAAAGCCAAAAGATACGGTACGGTTGCAAAACTAAATTCACGGCAAAGCTCAAAATTTCGGTACTTACACAACGTAACTGGTGAGAATGCAAAAGGCAAAAAGATTCTATTTCATAGTGCATTTTCTATTTATTTAACCGGCCATTTCGGGTAGGGACAACTTGAACTTCAATCCCGTATCTTATATCTTCGATACGTTCAAACAAATTAAAACCTTTTTAATTAATTACGCCTATCCCCGACGTCCGAAAAATACGGGACCGGCGTCAAGTTTCAAGTTAATTAAGAGCGCCTCTTTTGAGAAAGGGGTCCAGCTCAGTGGAACGGGTTTCTGCAACTCATTTAATGGTTACATTGTTAATTGGAATGTGGAGATCGATGTAAATTAACTACAGACTAATAGGCGGAAACTTTTCATAGCACTTGAGTGTATTTATGCAAAGGAACTGCGTTCATTCACTTATAGGTACTCCTTTTTTGTTTCTGTACAACTTTTACGGAGATCGCGATCGCGATTCCGTAAGTAAGAAAAATACCGGAATTCACAATTTGTTTTATGATGCCCGTAATATGCAACTTTCGGTCTGGTAAAGCTCGAACGAAATTTTCCATTACGAATTCCATCTAAATAATTGAGCAACGAGTTCTCTCGCGGCTTGACCCTTAAAGTCAACACTGTGAACCTGAATCACGCAGTGAATAACCCAGTGACTCAGAACCAACCGAATGCGTTAACATTTTTCTTACAGATTAATCCCCACTATTAGGTTATTAAATCATTAACACCTTCCAATATGACGTCTAAGTCAACAATTTTGTTTTAAAAGTCAATCAAGAGCGCTGTACTCCCAGAGTGCAAGAAAAATTAGGATGTCCTTAAGAAGCCCACACACGGAAATTGTACTGTTTATAACGAGGTTTATAATGTGCAGGGCTGCGTAATTTTTCTGCGACTTACTGGAATCTAGAATTTCCTAAAGCTATTAAGAGGACAATGCGCTATAGAATTCAAATAAGCAAAACGATAGATTATCAAAGTAGCGACTTCCTATTATTGTTCACTATATGTGAAACAATTTAATGCTGACGTTAGTAAATAAGGAATCTTTAATATTAGCTGCACTGCTTCAGGAGAACGGCGTCTATTCCATTCCAACTCAGATTAACCTATCTAAAAATCAGCGAAGTGGAGGTCACTGAAACTGAGGATGAGGTAGGCAATCCAAGCATTTAATTGTAGGCTGCAATAGCAAGCAAAACGCCTTTCTGCTGCCCACTTTCAAGTACTTGTATAGAAATAAGGTCTGAATGTGCGAAAGATATATCGAAAGCGTTCCACTATTAGGTACGTTCTTTATTGAGACGGGGGAGCGAAGAAATTAGTAAAATTTGTAATTTTTAAGTGGCAGTTTTAGCTGGAAACAGATTTTTGTGTAAAGATTGTTTCATTTTGACCTTGCTTCAAATTGAAATATTTAGAATTAAGTTACTTCGGCGACGTTGTTATGATATTGTCTAGAAAATCCCCTTCCACTTAAACTAAAAGCGAAACGAAAGGGTTGTAAACAGCAAACGCGTAATCTACTTAGCTAGTGTTTCGGGAAATTCCAACATTCAAGGCAAATATGAAACAAAAAACACATAAACTTCAGCTCAAAGTGCGCCTTCTGTGCAACCTTGGGAACTTTTTATGTGTGAAATGCACCTATAAGTACTACTAAGTACCTTATAATTTACCTACTTATTGTAAAACAAAACAGTCTACTATTTAAAATTTAAATAATCGAGATCTTTTCCGCAGATAAATATATGGTAGATGATGGGTACATTACAGGATTCTTAGGACACATAGTTATTGGAGTTTTCGTTGAAGGATGTAACGAAAAACGGTAGCGTTTTAATAAAGTAACTAATCCGGCCTTCATTTCCAGTAATCCAAACAGGTAAGCTAAAATATGTGAAATTAATTGCTGTTAAAATTAAAGTTACCGGTATCATTTACAAACACACTGCCGTGGGCCCAGTCCAAATGGCATCCAAGACTCCGCGGGTCGCTTCGCCAGATTCTCCTCCGAAAATCTGTCGGGGTCAAATATTTCTGGATTAGGATAGTACTCTGGGTCCATATGAAGACCGTAAGCTGGAATCAACACCGTCGTTCCTATGGGCAGCGTGAGGTTGGAATTTGGGATCTTGTATGGTTTGGTGCATAGCCTTATGTGACTTGTGGCAGGCGAGTGTTTTCTTAAAGTTTCTGGAATAAGCGAATTTTGTAACATCCGACTTGGACAAATGACTTACCTTTTAGGCATCGATCTAAGAGACCCATGTCCATGACTGCGTCGTAAGTGAGTTTTCCTTCATGGGCGTCCAAAACGGAGTTAATTTCCTTCCGAAGATTATCTTGTAGTGTTGTGTTTAGCGATAATTCGTAAAGACAGAAACTGGTTGTTGTAGAGAATGGCTCAAAACCGGCAACAAAAAACGAAAAGCAATGCCCGGCAATTTCCGCGATAGTGGCACCATCTTCTTCTTGTCGAACAGAAGGCATTACACTACCTAAACTGGTTTCGGATATCTCCACATTGTTCTTAATTTGGAGAAGGGAGTGCATAAAATCTTTCCGAGAAATATTATTCTCTTCTCGATGCTGGGCAACATCGCGAACAAGTTGCAAAAAGAAATCTGTCATTTCTTTGTTATTTAAAGTCAGTTTCAATTTCTTAGAAAGATCGGGGAACATAAATAGCAGCATAAACACGAACGCTCTCCACTTTGACGTGTTGTGCAGAAATTGGAGACCAAAGTGTTTGAATTTGTTGTTGGTATTCTTGAAACTGTTGCAGTCTAAGCCAAACGCGCACGATCCGATCATATCGACGCCCATGTTTGCGATAATATCCATTATATCAATCGCGTTTCCACGACCCGCACTTTCGTCTATAACGACCGTTAACTGATTGCAGCATTTCGCAATTGTTTCGAACATAATCTTGAGTCTTCCTGCGCTGAACGCGGGAGCTAGCTTCGATCTGCGAGTTTTCCATTTTTCGCCCTGAAGAGAGTATAGATTAGCGCTTAGTGGGTCTTTTTCTTCATCAATGTAAAACGGATGGTCAACAAAATGGGAGAAATCGGTGGTGAGCACATCTTTAATGAGCTTCATGTCCGCTAACACCAAAATCGGGCGTGTCAAAAAGTAATATCCCCCAAATGCCAGTCCATTCCTTTTTAACGTATCATAAAAGTGTTTCATACCCATTCCCATTCCTTCTTTTTGTAGTACAACACTTTTAGCATTTCCGAAAAATAACTGAGGTTCCAAACTGAATACACCGTTACTTTTCCAATACCGGTGAGCTACTACACTATACGATAACAGAAAAGTAAGTAGAACAAGTAGCATCACCACCACGCTTAAACAAAGGTATGCAAGTATGACCGCCATCGTAACCTAGGAAATCACTGTTCTGTTTCAAGGTTTGAGTTTATATATGAGCTACGTCTTGCACCGTAGTAACTCAGCTACTGCGACGTGACATAATATAACATACAGATTACATGCGAATATGAGTAAAATATTCAGCCCATTTGCACAGAAAAGAATGTCTAGAAATTAACATTGTTGCAAACATGTATATTCAGTGATTTATTATTATTCATATTATAGCTACGTTTCCATATCGCGTGGAGTATTTGGTACCTGGATTAGGTACTAAAATTAGTACATAAACACCATATGCTAAAGCCAGTCATCGATGATCAAACCAGTAGTTCGGATTTTTCCTAAATTCTATACATTCCATTTGTATATGTTTCTATATGTGTTCTTTCTTTACCTTTGAGCAAAATGGTTCTTATTTCTTACCCTCCTTAAAATTTTAGGCTAAAACAATAGAACCAGACTGGACGGAAGTGAAGAGGAGGAATGCAGTATAGGCAAAACTATCAAGCAAGAACATGACAACGGGAACGGCAGCGAGCTTTAGGAGCATGGTACACCCACATGACTGAGGGTTGAAAACATATTCGGCCAAGTCCAAAACGGTAACAACATAGAGGAGAAAACTCTGAATCACTGGTTGGCCACATAATAAGGACGAAATCAAAGGAAATACTCATCACGAACACAGCAAACATTAAAATTGTTCTAAAACTTCAAATGGAATGATATCGAAAATTCAGAGTGCTTAAGTAATGAACATACTAATGCCTAGGTGGCGAGCCGAGGTGTGGGGGTGGGGGAGCTACAATTTTTTGAGTTTTTCGCTTGTGTATTGAAAACGGTTCATCATAGGGTAAAATGTTATATTAAATGAAAGTTATTAAATCATCTACAATGTTTATTCTCATCACACCTAGGCCCTTATTATTGAGTTCATAGGAATAGCATTAGTGAGAGAAAGAGGGCGGATTTCTCCCTAAAAACTAATCAAGAAGAGGTTATTTAGTTTTACGAGAAAATTCCGTCCTCTTTCTCTCACTAATTCTAGTCCTATGAACTCAAGAATAAAGGCCCTGGGGTATTTGCTCCTCTAAAATTCGCTTCCAGGAACTTTACCTACCAAAAGGTAACGTCCATCAATTTGCAAGAATCATCGGGACAATTTTTGGAAATGGTTGTCTTAGGATTCCACCATCTGGAAACAAATGTAGAACGCTCTGGGAGTCGCCCAGTCTAAAAGACCAAGTATCGTTTTGTAAATTTGTTTATTTAATTATGCAATAACTATCAAATTTACGGTGATCGGGTTTGTCATATTGTTTTGTTATCAAAAGAAGTCACCAAATACGGATTTTCAAAATGATCGGATGAATTTTACATAGTAATAACCAATTGATCATCTTCGGGATTGCTTTTTTATATTTTTCCATAAAAAAACAATAACATTTGAAAATGAACGTTTCATACCCATTGTATCTTATAGAAAATTCAATTCTAAACCAATTCATTTCTCTTCATTTTTTCCTTTAGAGTAATAGTTAACGAGATAATTGAAGTCAAATGCGAAAAGAAACGACATCTTGCCATTTTTTCATCGTTTTTTGTTTATACATAACATTATACCTATTCCGGGAGTTTTCGGCTAGGGGGACTATGGTTTTCGGATTCAGGGGATCTTTTTACATAGAAGACACTTGATTTCGTTGAGTGAAATGACAACACCCAAGCTCAATCTGCCCAAACTGAAATTTGACTGCACTAAGCACTTATGAATATGACACAACAAATGCGATCGCGTGGCATTTGACGTCATTTTCATTCGTCCAATAGTGAAGCGTTTCGCAAATTTGAATTTCGTTCGCTTATTTTGCACTTTTGAATTACCATTTTTAGCAATTAAAAACAAACTAAATAAGAAACTAATGGTTTAAGTATAATGTCAGGACAATAAATATTTGCTGGAGAAAGAATCAAGTAAATTTAAACCACATGCATATTCCCTATTCACAAAAAATAAATAAAAGGAAGCTTGACTAGTAACAACGTCAATATGACACCACTACTATAGGTACCATGAATATTAAAAGATGTCAACTTTAACCTTGATTACATTTGTCGTTGCAAACAACCATTAGTGCGACCGCACCGAAAGGCGTTCTCTCATTCCTATACCGTCCAAAGGTATTGTGCTTGCGTACATAAGTCAGTTATTATTCAAAGAAATGTATTAATTAGGCAAATACAAGATACTTCAACAAATTAATCATTTTTAAAAGCCACAAAGGTCATACACTTACAGATAGGCCATATTTTTCATTAGGTGTTTCATAACTTTGATGCTATTTAAGGAATACGTAAGTATATAAGTTAACAATTGGAAAATTTCCATATACCATTCGAAACGTGAATAAAGAGCATCAAAAATGAAGTGCATTGTCCTATTCACCCTGCTGTTGGTCTCAATGACCGCTGCCATAAATGTAAGTACCATAACAAATTAAACCTAAGATTAAGTAAGTCGCTAATTTTTCATCATTTAGCATTACCATTTGTAATCCAGATGAAGATGATAATTGACAACCTTTCATATAATTCAATTGTTCGCCTCTGATCTGGGATAATTCAAATACCTAAGTGTACAGTTTCGATGTACAGTTTTTTTATTTTGCTTCAGGTGAGCCCCGAAAAGATAGAAAAGTGGGAAAACGCGATCCAACCGCACGTTGAGAAATGCAAATTGGAGTCAAACGTTGATCCTGTTTACGCAGATAGGATGAAGTACTTAGAATTTCCCAAAGATCAGAAGTTTTATTGTTACATGAAATGTTTGTACAACGAGGCTGGTGTTATTGACGCGGAAGGACACGTCAATGTTGAAGAATTGGCAAAAAAGTTTAGTTTTGGAAATTTAGAAGCGGCAAAGAAATGTGAAGATAAAGTCGAAACAGAAAAGCGTCTTTGTGAGCAAGCATATGAACTCCTCTTATGTACTGTAGAAGCGGTTTCTGAATGATGTACGACCAATTATGTCATAGCTTGAACGTTTTTGCAATAAATATCTTCGTTGCCTTGTTAGATTTAGCTTCACACTTGAATAACAAAAGCCATAATCAAAGGACTACGAATCTTTCCAGTCTTAATATTCACATACAAATACCCCTTCAACCATGCAATGTGAATCTTAGTTTATCGAAGTACCTCTGGAGCTGTACCCTTCACCAAGTAACCGTAGACCTTTACCGTAGACCAATTCTGTGCGTGAGGTCTTCTATTCGTGCTGCCTGAATCCATAGAAGTACACAGGTAGAACTTCTGTCTATTCCTGTTTTCCGTGGCACATGTCGGCTGTGGGTGGTGCCGTTGTGTGGGCTCTTTTGAAACCTGCTACATATTGTAACCATTGAAACAGGCGAGATACAAATTGTCTTCCTTGGTCCGTGGTTGCTGGAACCGGTGACCCGAGTCGGACGATCCAGAGTGCTGGGAACGCTTGGGCAACGGTGTCAGCTTCGATGTTTTGTAATAAAGTATCTTTTTCCTTGCGATACCGGAATTGGTCCTATCAGGTTGATGCGAACGTACTCAAACCTCGAGGTTCCTTACATTGGACGTCCACATTTGATCCATTTTAGGTTACGACGTCCATGTAGCAAAAGTGTACGTACAGTGGACGTTCAATTATTCCCTCTTATGGAATATTTAACAGGCGGTCCATAAAATAATTACAATGTACGTCCAATGGGCGTATGTTCCAATTATGGCGTACACTAGATCTCATTAATACCATTTTTGTTTTTAGAAACTGAGATGCAAACATTTCCCACGCCGGTTTCCAAAAAAGCAATTTTTTAATTGCCCAAAAGAGCAAAGAGTGATGGTAAAAATTCTGAGTAAACGCGTACACACGTTGAAGACACTGTAGCTCTATACGATCAAGTTCGGTCGACTTTCCCACGCGTCCGTCGACGGTGGGTCAACGGGCGTCGCTAAATCGTTCGGAGGTTCGCAAGTATGACCACGGCGATTACGCGCGAAGCGTTCGATCGTGCGTTTTTTCGGCTAACTATGAACGGCCCTGCACCACCCACCGAATCAAGAAAGATCCCTCAATCTGTTAATCCTTCCGGTATCCGGGCCTAGTGGGCTTTCCCGTGTTTGAGTCAAATTAATCTGCAAGCTTCGCTCCTGTGTATGCAAGCACAATCACTTTATTAACGAGCTCCTAGCGAGTTTATAATTTTGCGGTGAGTCCGTCCGTCCGTCCGTTAGCACGATAACTCATAAATGAATGGACCGAATACGATGAAATTTTGCAGGTGGATTCTTTATCAAATTTGTAGATCGGAGTTGGTGAATTGGCAATGTAGACCAAAAAATAAAAAAAGGCCTTTTGATATCTCCGTTAGTTATGAACGGAATAGCATGAAATTCAATATGCGCATAGCTTTAGCCATATAAAACACAATTCCAAAAGTTGAGCCTAATCGATCAGCATTCACAGTGCCCTAGGCGCATCTCGACCATTTACAAACCGGATTGCAAACTTTCTTATTTGGTTTTGCGCATGCGCAGTGCCAACTTTCTTATTTATGGAGACATTCAAATGAAATTTGATACATAGCCACTTGGAATAAAAGCAAATGTAGCGCCATTTTCCAAATTTGGTTTTGTGTAGGATGTGCAGTGCCAACTTTCTTATTTATGGAAGCAATTAAATGAAATTTCATACTGCTAAAATTCTGAAAAATATAGCGGACGGGCTCAATTCTTGCCACTGTCTTGTATAGAGTCACTGTAGTGCGTGTCTGCTTTTGCGTTACGTCAGTGTCATTATGAAAGCTGAATTTTTCATTTTGATTTATGGCTTATTGTGCTTTATACATACTTACGATTCATTATTACAAATTATGTACACAGTTAATTACCAACATGCAAATTAAAACGTATACGTAAATGTGTGACAAATTGTGAGGACAGTTTCGCAAAAAGCCATTGTTTACCAAAAATATTCTTCATCATCTTCATTATCTTCTACACAAATAGAAATACGTTTTTTTTGGCATATCTAGGTGATTATTTCCTTCATGTAATGGTTGTCGAAAGTATTACACTAATTTTGTTTATTGAAAATGTTAGTCGCTATCGATTTCGGACTTTCTCTCGTCCATCATCAGGCGATACGTCGGGATGGCTAACGAATCATGGAAAATGTTTTATCTGAATATTATTTTGAAATCTGTAAAATTTATGTGAAGAATGAAAGGCGTGTATGGTAATATGGAGCCATTCATCAACAATTCCTTCATGTAGTAAAAGCATTGGAATTGCTATGGTGGACAGTCCATATTTCAACGATTAATTTGCAAACGTCAAAATTTTGCCACGGTTAAAAATCTGTCAAAATTTTATCGCTTTCTTTCGCACACTGTGAATACTTATTCAGGAAATAATCATGCCGAATATCCCGTGTGCTTAAAAATAGCCTGATTCAATTTTGTCGTTTTTCGTCAAATTGTTTTGCTAAGAAGAAGTACTTCTCGTCAATTTTCCACCCAAAATTTTGTTACGTGGCAAAATGACTCGACGTACTTCTAAGCAAAACATTTGACGAAAACGTCAAAATTTAATCGGCTATTTTTATGCACTTGGGATATTACTGTTGATTAATTAATTCGACGTGAGACGTTAGACATAACCGGAAAGGGAATTAAATAAAAGACAGATTTTTTATGCGTCCGAAGGGAATAAGAAAATGAACCTTATTACGCACGAAGCTTGGTTCGGCGGAGCAAATCCAAACCGAAAAGCCAGGAAAAAAACGAACCAGCAAGTAAAAAAAAACCTGGCATAACACACACAAACACACGAAATAAACCAACTACCTACAGCAACAAAATATAAGATAAAATACACAAATAAAACATCTCAAATTGCACGATAAAAATGAGTTAATGCAGATGCAGTTAAACAAATTATTTCAAGTGCAAGCGCAAACATGATAAATCAATTTAGTACAAAACCACATTAAAATACATGTGCGATCAATTGAAACAAAACGTAAAATGATAAATTGCATGTACACAGGAAAACATCAAAATGGCGTGGCTCTGCTCCAGCCACCGTTAACATAAATTAATTTAACAAGAAAGTAAATATTGTGTGAATGCCAATAGCAAGTATTCATGTGAAAGTCTATTATTGCTCAAACAAAGCATATTTTAAATAGAGGAAATGTTAATCAGAAGGTCCCTAAGGTCTCATATTGCTAAGATACAAGTTCTGCAATCCGCATGAGACGAGTAGGTAACATATCTAGCGAAGAATCGGACTGTATTAGGTACCTATCGTTGCAAGGAAATGGAAATGGAAATAGACCACACAGTAAAAAGTGACGAAGGTACGATCGAAAACAAATTTTTTAGATAAATGCGGCATGCATCTTCATATGAAAACAGCCGCATGCGGCAGGTTTCCGACCCCTGGTCACTAAGGTCTTTTATATTCACAATGCCACCTCTGAGAAGTTTCTCTGGATCCGCCACTGATTGTATGCTCTCGTCGTTAAATTAATGTCTGCCGTCATTCATAATATGATTTAACAGATCGTTTAATCCGGTATACAGGATGTTCCGTATAGGTATGTACAAAAAATTGGGTGGTAGAGGGGATCAAAGCAAGCACCTTTTCAAAATAAACCAATGATCAAACGTGTTTCGTTTGCGAGCCACCCCCATAAAAGTGGTGAAATTTGCATCTCTTCTTTAATTTTTTTTCAGCAACCATAAGCGTTAGAAATACTGGTGGCACGTTTTTGAATAGGTTTTCGGAAATGCATTTCACGATTTTGCAAAATTGTTTTCAAAAATCTTACCACGAAAGGGTGCGCCCCTAAATGAGGGTGCGGAAAAATCCTGATTTCGACGAAATTGAGTATCTGGAGGTTTTTGAACATGAATATCACGTATCTGAAATTAGTGTTTGGAAATTCGGAAAAAAATTCCATTGTAATTCTTGGGCGGGCAACGTAAATGCAGAGAATTCCACGAAATTTGTTGTGTACATACTTGATGAGTTAAAGAACAAAATTGTCGAACAGTTGAGGAATCAATCAATGCAAAAATCTAATCAAATTACTACGAAAAAAAATCTGGAGAACAAAAAATCATGGAATATCTAGATCCAAGTATGAGTATAGCCATCCAGGAAGGGAATGTAGATTCCATCATCATTATCAGAAAAAAGTAGCAATTATAAAAAAAAAGTTGGTCATGACAAGGGGCAATGGGCAACTTTCATGGGTTTGTCTGGAGGAAATTCTGTATTGTGCATTTGTTCATTTATTTTTACATACATTTACGAATACCACTAAAATATCTCCAGAAACATTTACCATTATATTTGACTATTATGTTACTATATAGGTGTAGCCACAGCCACAGTGAAATTTTGAATTATATCTTCTCGGCGTACAATAGTATAGGCGTCGTGGGATATACCACGAAATGCTTGGGGTCGTGTTCCATTGGTACTTTTGTGGAAGGGTGCAAAGAAAATTTATAGCGTCTCAGTAACGTAACCAGTGCCAGCTTCACTTGCACCAATCCAAATTTGTAAGCTACAACGTCATTATTAGTGCCATCCATGTTAACAAACAAGACGACTTTGCCCCAATGTAACTTGAACGTGCTTTATGCGTTACGTGCAAATTATCAAAGAATTAACCTCATACCTATACACGTCCGCGGACCACCTCCAAACGGTAAAAACGAGCATGAAGGCCGATCCGATGTGGTGTTTTCTGAAAATCTATCCGGATCAAATGTTTCCGGATTTGGAAAGTAACGGGGATCCATGTGAAGTCCATAAGTTGGTATAAACAATGGAGTTCCTTTTGTTATCGTAACATTTGTATTGGGAATCACATACGTTTTCGTACAAACTCTGCTATGTATCACCATGCTTGGATATTTCCTCAATGTCTCTGCAATGATTTCATAGTTTTTTTTAACATGTGTATTATATTTACCGTAAATACATTGGTCGACATACTTCATTTTCGAAAGATCATCGAAGGAAATTACTCCGTTGGTGCCTAGTAATGTCAAATTGATTTCTTCTCTTACTTTATCTTGTAGATACTGGTTTATGCATAACTCATACATACAGAAAGCAGATGTTATCGACGAGGTTTCGTGGCCGGCGGCGAGAAACATAAACAACTGAGCTGCAATTTCTTTGTGGTTTAGGGTTACCTCTTTATCACTTTTTAATTGGATTAGTAGACCCATCAGATCCTTCCGTATGATGTTCTTTGCTTGTCGATGTTGTACTATGTCATTAACTAGTGATACAAAAAAGCTTGTCATCTCCTCACTGTATGCCTTTACGTTTAAAATAGTAAAGAACTGAGGAAAAATAAAGGACATTAGATTTACTATAGAATCCCACGTTGTCTGACTGTGCAGAATACTACTACAGTAATTGTATAAGGTCGAAGACAAATGTTTAAGGTCGTTGAATTCCAATTGGCAAGTACAGGCCAGCAAGATTGTCATGTTCACATTACATAGTAGAGGTACGATATCGACAACTTCGCGACTTTCAACTTTATTGTCAATTGTCATTTCCATTTCCTTACAACAAGAGAGTATAGTGTCAAACATCACTTTAGACGTCTTTGTATTGCACGCAGAACTTAAATGCACTCTTTGTTTTTTCCATTTTTCACCCTTAAGAGCGAATAAGTTCCCGGTTAACGGATCGTTCGTTCCGTTAGTATACATGGGATGGTCAGTGAAATGGTCGAAATCTGTAATCAGCACTCTTTTTATTAGTTCCAAGTCTGATACCACAAGTATAGGGCGCATCAGGAAGTAGTAGCCACCAAACTGTTTTCCGTTCAAATTCAGTTTATCATAAAATGCCTTAATTTGCTCCCCTAGAGATTTTTTGTGAAAAACTACGTCTTGAGCATTGCCGAAGAATAATTTCGGTTTTAAAGTAAAAACACCTTTCCTTTCCCAATAACCATTTATTATTTTGCACACTATTAAAAACAACGTTATTGACACAACTGTTATTGCTATTAAGCAGTAACACAGGTAGCAAAAAATTAAATACATTTTCGTTAAATATTCCGCCAAAATGTAGGATGAGACTGCTCTGCCTTCGCAGCTATTTTCTTCGAAGTACAAACATTTTTACGGGTTATCACCAGATATCTCGACACTGGTAGTTCAGATAACTAGATGTGGACATGTGTGATAAATAAGTTTGTTACAAATTAAACAAGGTTGTTTTTATATACATAAATATTTGGTACGTCTATAGTACGAATATTAGATTATTAACAGCGGTGTGTTTTAATATTTATTTTATAGCAGATGTTAAATTCACATTGAGGAGGCACTTTAATCACTAACCATAAGTGCCTGATGACTGCATCCAATGGATTTAAATGCGAGCGTTTACACTTATCCGGTTGCGTTCCGGTTGCCGCAAGCGACCGCAGCTTGCTGCGTTTCTGCCAGATGACCGGATGGCGGGATGATATCAAAAACACGTGCATTTGTATGTAGGAGTTTATACTATCCGGTTGTACCGCTGCGGTTATATAGGTAATTCTTTATAATGTTTGATATTGAAAAGTTCATCGAATGTGTAATAATTCATCGACCGATTTGGTTGATGTCCGAAATATTGAAAACATTTATTTTCGTACTTGCGTATATTGTTAAAAAAGATCCAAAACCAATTGCTGTATTCACGCTCCGCAAACAACGTATGTATCCAGTAACGACGCTTTTGGGGCTCTTTTAAGCAGTTGAGGGCTTCAAGAGCGCAAACCAGCACTACCTTTAACATCATTACAATTGCTAATAAATAGATAAAAAAGGATGCGTTTTCCGATGGTAATGTAGACGCACACAACCTTCCGGTTTCGCAGGATGCGTTTTGAAAGGATGCGTTTAAAATGCATAGTGTATTCAGGCACGAAGGGTATATAAAGTGAAACAGATGATTGTGCATTCTAATGACATCTGCCATTCCCGATCATTCCTATTTCAATTATAATTCACTCAATGGTTAAAATATCCCTTTATCGTCTTGTATAAAAAATAACTATTATTGAAAAAGTAGGGTAGATTATGGTTTACATTCCTGCATATTATATCACATTATATTATGATGATAATTATAGTAATTTGACTATAGGATTTACTACGAAGTACAGGCATACAGCATGGGCAAAGTTCAATGCAACAGAGACCCACTACATGTTGTTAGTTTCTTACACTTGACTGTGAGAATCAACAACATTAGATCTATAATCCGCCCTGTGATGTATCACTGACCCTAACGTCAAACTTAACGTGCAGGTTATTTGTACAAAACGTTATTTTTCCCAAACTACTCGTAGATAGCGTAAAATAACGTTTTTTGGCAGATACCCTGCATGATAAGTTTGACGTTTCTGATACATTACAGGGCTGATTATCTGTTAATTTATTAAAAAAGTATCCCCTTATGCATACCATTTTTATGATACAGTAATTTATACAGAGTGGCCCAACGAGAAGTATACAGAGGGCTTTTAGGGTATTAAATTTAGAAATTTCGAAAATTCCTCGAACACGTCAATTTTGTATTCGAGGTGGACAACTTTTGGAATACAAATCACGAACCCAAGTTTTCACCTCTCTACGTAGGGAGCTTAACTCCTAAAATTTTAAATGGAATCCTATGGCAAATGGCACATTATTTGAAAGCCAATTTAATCGTGATTACTAATCTGCTTTGCTTTTTAAATTCTATTGATTCGTTTCGGGGATTATTCGCATTTGAAATGGTTTTTTCTAAACCACAACAAATGCGATCTAAGTCACCTTTTACTAAATTTTATTTTGGCGCTTCAATTTGTTAAACTTAACTGAACCTGTCAGTTCTCCGAAACGAATCAATAGAATTTAAAAAGCAAAGCAGATTAATAATCACGATTAATTTGGCTTTCAAATAATGTGCCATTTGCCATAGGATTCCATTTAAAGTTTTAGGGGTTAAGCTCCCTACGTAGAGGGGTGAAGACTTGGGTTCGTGATTTGTATTCCAAAAGTTGTCCCCCTCGAATACAAAATTGACGTGTTCGAGGATTTTTCGAAATTTATAAATTTAATACCCTAAAAGCCCTCTGTATACTTCTCGTTGGGTCACTCTGTATAACCTGAACGTGCAATAAGTCCCAACCTATCTTTAGAAGTATTGGTCCGACTTCATCATTTTTGAAAGCTTTTGTGTGTGCTACAATATTGTCATAACTACAATGCCGATAAAATCAACAATTAGTACCGAATTAATGCATGAATTAAACGAACGGAATTTTTTTTTACAAACATTTAATGAAAACTAAATCAACCCCTTCGTTAGTTTCAAAAGTTCCATATACACTAAAATCTGCTCCTTCTTCCTTTTCTTCAGTGACGTATCAACAAGTTGGCAGTTTGCATGCGCTTGTATACTTTAAGTTATTAGCATTACGTAATGGTAGCTGTCAAGAGCCAGCTTGGTAATTCTACGTGAGGTGATATGGAAGCCAAACTTAGGGTTATCTTTCATCTTTTTGCTGCTTCCGGAATTGCATCTCTTTGATTTTGACGTAAAATTTTTCAATGTATTTTTTGTTTTACATAATCTACTTATGTCAAATTTTATCGGCACAGTATACACCTTTCCATCAATATTAACAAACTCTTTGCTGACGTTATGGCTAAAAGCCGTATTTGATCGCATTTATTGCAAGACAGTCAGTCTTGTCAGTTGTAAAGTTCTTGTTTAACGTTAAGCGGAAATGTGTTTCACGTTTTACGAGGAAGTTAGTGGAAGCGCTGTGTTTATCGAGCAGGCGTCGCTTATCTGAAGCCTTTCTCAAAGGTTTTCCCAGTACTCGTTAAAGGGAGTTTTTTCAGCATTAAAGAGCCAATTTTACATCAGTAATTCTAACGAACCCAGTATCGTCCAAATTGAGATACAAGTTCAATTAAAGTAGAGAAGTGAAGGTTTAGAAACAATCCGCACATACCAATTTCATCATCATTTGTTATTTGATCATGGCTCTTCCGCTACAATATATCTGTAGACGTAACTACAATGATTTTTGTATTTAGTAATTATTTTAATTTTAATTCAATTTTCTAAAGCTGTGAATAATCGTTTATTTTTGATTTTCTTATGAGATTTTGTGTATTTTCGGTGAAATATTTATTAAACCGAATTTATTTTTGCGTATCTTGCATATTTTGATATTCTTTGCATTTACATGATAGACTTGCATATTTTAAGATGTATTTAAATTTTTGTTAGATTTAATCGATTTTAATTTCAATTTTTAATACATTTTTGCGGATTTTTATAACGGACGTATCGCGTGAAACATACTGTAATAGCCGAAAGGAAGATTTATTGATTTAATTGATGTTTAATTTCATCATTTCCAAACTATTTTATCTTTCTCTTTCTCTACGGTGATGATGGATGAAGATTTGGAAATTGCTCCCAATAGTTTGTCCTTTTCTAATGCACCTATTACTTTTGTTGAGGTAGAGTATAGTTTCTCTGCTTAGTGCTTATAAATTAATTCTTAGTGACAGGAGGCAATCATTTCGTGCAGAAAACTTAGAGAAACATCTTATTGCTAGTGTTTATCGTAATTCCTTTTTTATTAGAAATTATGCAACATATATAATTTTGTATATGTGTGCATATATGTCAAAATTGTTTGCATATTTTTCACTAATATTCTGCATAATATGCGCATAATTTTACCATTTATTTTGGATTAATACAGGCAGTAAAGAAAATTCGGAAAACAATTAAAAATAAAACATTTTTTTAAATAACTTATTAACAGTTGGTTTTATCGAAAAAGTACTAATAACAATATTTATAGCACATACAAAGAGCTTTCATTAAAAAAAAAGAATAATGAAATTGGATCAATAATTCCAGAGATATAGTTTACTTTATAAAACTCATCATCCGCCATCTTTGATTGGCCGCCATTTCTATTAGCTACCGCTTTGAGATGGCAATCATGGTTTTTTGGCATCCTAATAAACCTGTATAACCACTGTAAAAAGGAAAATTGGTACTCCCAAATTATACCGTCATGTCGACTGGCCCATGGACTAAGTCACGTTCAAGAGCTATACAACCATTTCAACGCTATCATGCTTGTAAAATGATTGGTTTTGTCGTCAAAATAAACGTCAGTTGCAGCGATGACATCCTCATTAAAGTTAAATCTTTTTCCCTGGAGCATCCTTTTGATATTAGAAAACAGGCAGTAGTCGCTGGGGGTTACATCTGGAAAGTTCAGTGTGTGTGGTGAGACAGATTAAAGCAGATTAAACTAGTTCAACAATTGTTTTTATTGACTTGCGGCACGTTGCATGGTCTTGATACAGGACGATTTTGCACAAGTAGCGTCATTTTCACCACAGTAGATTTTCTGTTTATGGTCCGATTGACGTGAAAATCACATGTCATGTGGCAGCAACTCATTTTAGATAGCCCGTTACTTGGGTATGACTTTTTTTAAAATCCAGCGGTTTAATATTTAGGCGACGATAGTTGATTGTTAAGGTATCTGCCCACTACACCGTACCATAGCACGACCGCACTATGGAGGTATCAGGCACGGAAAGTACACGACACGGACTACTGTGCGCATTAGAACGTATATGAACAGCGCATCATACCCGTGAGTAACATAGAACAACAAACTTAGAATGGAAACTCTAATGTAATGTAAAAATGACGCGCCATCTCGTGTATGTTCTCAGCAGCTTTTGCGTGAATGGCGCCAAATTTAAATATTAAAATGTAAGCTACGTCCGCATTATACTGCAATTCTCCGGATCTGTAACAATAACATTGGATTTGACTAGCTGAAACCTAAAAGGTAAATGAATCCAGCCAGTGAAGTCCAATTTTGTTTGTTAGGGATCCAGATAAATTCAGTTTAATGCCGATGCACCTCAACAGTCAGGGGCTTCAAAGAGTACAGACCACTTTATAAGTAACAACTCCAATTAATCCAATCAAGGAGTTATATTTAATTTAATATGGATATACAAGATACAAGATCAACTTCATGGAACTCTACACTTTATGATGCTCTCAAGATCGTTCTAAAAACAAAATATGTAGCAATTTATTACAATTCAATTAGTGTTACCTGCTAAAGATAATGTGCGAACTGCCACACGCTTTAAACCTCTTCGTGTTCCAGGTTCTAAAGCGCAACCAGAAAAATGACGTTCACAAACCAAAAACTTTTGTGTAAATTTCTTCCACATTATATTCTAAACCAATTCTATAAAAACTTCGGGCTCCATTTTTGGGAAACGTCTTCACAATTTGTCACACAACATTTACGTTTTCGATTTGTATATGCATAATTCATTGTAATAATGAATAGTAATTATACTTAAAGCACAATAAGCTGTCAATCAAAATTCAAAATTCAACTGTCATAATGGCGACACGTACTAAAGTCACTAGATTTAGTAACTTTAACAAGCGCGCTAAATATGCGCCATCTATTGAATGTTCTCAAAACTAATTATATTGGTACTCAGTTGTTCCCGTTTACGTTTCCCTTCTTAGTTTTTTGTTCTGGGGTGAGTAACAGTTTTAGAGACCGGAGTATCCGCGCATCATATACGTATCATCGGCGTGTCCTATCGGTATGGTTCGTGTGGTCTCGGTTTCAGTAGTAGTAGATCACCTGTGTTTGCCGGTGGAACAGACGCGTCAGGAAGAACGAGCGAATTAATTCTGTTGTTGCGATACTATACGATGGCTAACGCCTGATGTCTAATGTCTGATGTCTGATGTCAGAATTACTGAACTACCTTTTAATTTGTAATGTGTTCTGGGAAAGACGGAAGCTTCACAGGTTTGTCGGGGTTCGGAAAAAAACGCTATATTATTATTTATTCTTCTTTTCTCATTCTAATTTATGCCCAGAAACATTTACTGTTACAGTTGACTATTAGCATTGAATAAGTTATATTATAATTACTCACTCAATGCTTTTAGGTTATGTTAGTAGTAGCGACACATTGCATTGACGGCCTTTTAGGCTTCTTTAAACTATCCTCTCAACGTACAATAGTATTGGCGTAGAGGGGTATATCATGAAGTGCTTGGGATCGTGTTCGAGTGGCACGTTTGTGGATGCATGCAAAGAAAATTTATATCGTCTCAGTAATGTAATTAGCACCAGCTTCACTTGCACCAATCCAAATTTGTAAGCTAAAAAAACATCATTATTACTGCCATCAGTGGTGAGGAACAAGACAACGTTTGCCCCAAAGTAATTTCGACGGAATTAAATAATAAACATGTGACATGCCCAGAGTCTAATCATGCCTAAATTATTAAAGAATGGACCTCGTACCGATACACGTCCGCGGCCCAACTCCAAATGGTAAAAACGAGCATGAAGGGCGATCCGATATGGTGTGCTCTGAAAATCTTTCCGGATCATATATTTCCGGATTTGGAAAGTAACGAGGATCCATATGGATTCCATACGTTGGTATAAGCACTGGAGTTCCTTTTGTTACCGTAACATGCGTATTGGGAATCACATACGTTTTCGTACACACTCTGCTATGTACCACCATGGTTGGATACTTCCTGAACGTTTCTGCAATCACTTCATAGTTTTTTTAAGCTGTGAGTTATATTTACCGTAAATGCATTGGTCGACATACTTCATTTTCGAAAGATCATCGAAGGAAATTACTCCGTTGGTGCCCAGTAATGTCAAACTGATTTCGTCTCTTATCTTATCTTGTAAACACTGGTTTATGCATAACTCATAGATACAGAAAGCAGGCGTTAACGAGGTAGTTTCGTGGCCCGCGGCGAGAAACAGAAACAACTGGGCTGCAATTTCTTTGTGGTTTAGGGTTAGCTCTTTATCACTTTTTAATTGGATTAGTAAACCAATCAGATCCTTTCGTATAATGTTATTTGCTTGTCGATGGTGTACGATGTCATTAACTAATGATACAAAAAAGTTTGTCAATTCCTCACTGTATGCCTTTACCTTTAAAATAGTAAAGAATTGAGGAAAAATAAAGGACATTAGATTTACTATAGAATCCCACGTTGTCCGACTATGCAGAATACTACTACAGTAATGGTGTAATGTCGAAGTCAAATGTTTAAGGTTATTGAATTCCATTTGGCAAGTACACGCCAGCAAGATTGCCATGTTCACATCACATAGTAGAGGTACGATATCGACTACTTCGCCACTTTTAACTTTGTTGTCAATTGCCATTTCCATTTCCTTACAACAAGAGAGTAAAGTGTCAAACATCACTTTAGACGTCTTTGTATTGTAAGCAGAACTTAAATGCACTCTTAGTTTTTTCCATTTTTCACCCTTAAGAGCGAATAAGTTCCCGGTTAACGGATCGTTCGCTTCGTTAACATACATGGAGTGATCAGTGAAATGATCGCAATCTGTAACCAGCATTCTTTTTATTAGTTCCAAATCTGATATCACAAGTATGGGCCGCATCAAGAAGTAGTAGCCACCATACTGCACTCCATTCGAATTTAGTTTGTCATAAAATTCCTTAATCTCCTCTCCTAGAGATCTCTTTTGAAAAATTACAGATTGAGCATTACCAAAGAATATTTTGGGTTTTAAAGTAAAAGCACCTTTCCTTTCCCAGTAACCATTGATTACTTTGCACACTATTAGAAATAACGTTATTAACACAACTGTTATTGCCGTGAAGCAGTAACATACGTAGCAAAAAATCAAATACATTTTCGTTGAATATACTCCCAAATCTAGGATAAGACTGTTCTCCCATGTATTTTCTTCTTCTTCAAGTGTAAAGATATAAAAGGTTAACAAACAGGCTGCATCATAGTGTCTGTTAATTGAGATAACACTATGTGAAGCAGATAAGCTAGAAATTATAGGGGGTCTGAGTTGTTTATGTTTTCTTTTGTTACTAGATGGTTAATCTTGGCGATTCCTATAGTAGTACGAGTAAAATCATGTATATAATGCTTAAGAAGAATGGGATAGATTATGATTTGTATGCGTGTATATGTGGGAGTAACTCAATAAATGAACAAAGGAATAATCAAGCAGAGACAAAGTTCAATGCCTGTTTTTGCACTTGACCCTAAGAATCGACAGCATCAGGCATATATTACTTGACTACTAAACAACAAAATACTTACACATACAGTTGTTTCAATAGTGGTGGCACTTGATGGTATCGACGAGGGGGAATACGAAAACAAAAAGGACATAACTAAAAACTACAATAATTAACCTTAGAGACCTACGAGGTTGTGTTCCCCGATTTAGAATAAACTTTTCTAGGTATGTTATCAACCCTAAAGAACTTTTAATTTTATCGCGTGATCGGGAGCGAATTACTTGGTGCCACTGGTTACTGCCCAGTTTTTTTTACGCTGGGTCGCGGGTTTCTAATAAATTAATCTACTCTTTTAAGGAATGAGCGCCAATCTGCCTTAACGTTACTCGCCGACCGACAGATGAATCGGACGAGGGCATAATATGCATACAATATGAATTGAAGTAATATTTAATTTTATTATTGTAGTGATTTGCGGAGGTACCTCTAGTAATGACTATGACTCAATTTTAGAAATAGTAATTCTTAATTTAACTTATGTCTGACAAAATCAACGTTTGCAACGAGATAAGATCGAGCATTTATAAGAGGATGCGTGTGAATGATAATAATAATGGTGCCTTATCTTTAGCCGAGGGGGAACCAGGTGCACAGAGGTCGAGTGACCGAACGGCGATAACACCATGGCGTGCTTCAGTGGCTGCCTTGTAATGGCCCAATCCCAATGGCAGCTATTCTTCGAGATCAGAAATTTCGCTTGAACATAAATCACAAATCAGAGAGCCTTAAGGTATTAAACGGCACAGATATAAATTGGATATTAGTTATGCACAATTCAAATTATAATGATAGATAAATGCGGTCCAGACTCAATTCGCGACAGGACCTTAAAATGATCCTCCAATTGTCGTAATATAGTCCGTAGCAACCCATCAATTAATTGAATTCGCTCTCAAAACTCTAACAATTATTATAAGTAAACGATTTTTCACTGGCGCTATCTTAGACCGTCTTCCTAGAAAATTTCACACCCGCTCCCACTACTCGTTCACTGCCCAATTAAATTTATATTTAAAAAATAAACGCGCAATCTTGAAACGTTACACTACCCTCTTCCCAGAGGAAAAATAAATTAAAAAACATTTACTTTTTTATACGTGGTTCTACAACAATATAAAGTGAGATGATAGCACCAAAATGTAGGGAAATGTGGTTACTTTTTTACGATAGGCCATCTGAAGTTTATCTGCTACACTTTCAAACACATCCTTTAAACTTGCACTTATATCGTTACTATAATCATTACGGTCAGCCGGATTGAGTGTTAAATTGGCAGTACAGAGTTTTCCATAATAGTCTCCACTGGTGCAAACTACTCCCCAAAATTGAAAAAAACTTGGAGTGAGCCCCGTTTCTTCATGAGTTGACAAATTTAAAGCATATTGAATTTTAGGAATGTTCTTATCCCAAAGTTTTTAGTTTTCATTGACATAGCTTCTAATTACAGTACCTATTGTGCGATGGATCTTTCTACAAAGTCAATTGGTAGCTATCCATCTTATAACGACTCAAAACGGGGTGAAATTGACTATGTGGATTTATGAAACAATTAAAAGAAGTATGGGGAAGGTTTAGTGTCTTTATAAATCCACATAGGCTACGAAGTCAACTTGAAGATGGTACCTGGCATTGTACCATATTTTTTGTACCTTACAGGCATTCGCTAAAGCTTTAAACTTTGGGCCAGTGAATTGAGTCCCATTATCACACATAATAAATGTGGAATCCATATACCAGTAAAAACACTCCCTCTTCAAGAAACTTGACCACGCGATCGGTAGTTGCCTCTCTCATAGAGTATAACAGGGTATTTTTACTGAACCAATGAACATTTTTGGTCAATAATAAATTTCTTTAACCTTCTTCGCCGTTTCATAAAAACCTAAGTCTTTGTTCACGAGGCACCAGAATTTTCCATTCAGAAACATTGTATTTCAACGGTAAATTGGCAGAGTGGTGTTTAAATATCACGTCATCAACAATTTTCCAGTGGGGAAAACGACTGCGATTATTTAAAATTTTTTTGCTCTCATTTGGGAGTAGCTCGGAGAAGAAGAATTTACGATCTTGTCGAAGGCTACCGCATTTACTTTGTCGGTATCCGCTTCTCACTTTCCGTGCACCCGCAATTCGCGGATGAATCCAATTAAAACGCTCCTCAATTAAAAAATAGTAGCAATTACCCAATCCAGAAAGACTGCTACAGACCCTCTACTCCAAAAATCCAAGTCTTGAGGAATATACAATTTTCGGTAAAAGCTACCCACAATCAAATTCTAAAGATCGTCGTCTTAGTGCTTGTAATTACGAAGCAATGTCGAATGTAGAAGTGAAATTGTTCCCATAATCTACCTACACGAAAATGAAGATAACCTGAGGGTCATTGTCAGAATTATACGAAGAAAATTCAGTTGCCTACAATAAGGATGAACCTTGCCCATAAAAATTAATAAATTAAAATTAAGAAAAATAAATGTCACAACTAATGCTCATTTCAAAATTTTTTATATTTCTTGTGTACACTCCACTTTTTTTCATTAAACTGTAAGGCGGCTCATTTGAAAGAGAATGGGGTAAGGATCTCGTGCCTACCCGTATTTTTTCCTAGTTCTAGCAATAATATTATTAGGATATATTTATGTTTGCATGATGAGTTTTTAAACTTGTTTAACTTGTTTAGTTTTAGATTGTTCTTATCAAACGTCAATCCTAACAAAAAATGTACAAGGGAATGTAAAATGACGGACAACATACGTTTTCTGGAATAAATACACCCAAAAATGTAAGGCGGCTATTCTGTTTTGAATCAAACGGGCATCAATCGTTACATTTAAAAAAAGTTTTAATCCTTTATCCGAGAATATCAACAACATTTTTATAAATAGCGTACATATATCAGTTGATATGATACAAGTGAACTCTGATCCTCCGCAGTTGCGAAAAATGAACAATCAACCCCCAAATTAGTTTAGATGAATTGTTGATAATGAATGATATTTCGTAACAATATTTAATAAGAAAATACAAGAGTTCTACCAACTGGAAAATGCACACTTTTTTTCTCCTTAAATCCGTTTTTAATCATTTTATTGATAATTGCAATCTTTCCACAATAGTAAAGGTCAATGGTGTTATGGACAGATTACAGATGTACTTACTAATATGAAGAGAGAAATGTGTCAGTATTTTCTTGACGTTTTTAAATTATATTTAAAATGGTGCTTCTAAGCTGTTTCATGTGTATCTTTCTTCCAATGTGTAGTTTACTAGTGATTTGCTTTATAGTCATCTGTAAATGGGTCAACGGATATTGGATTCGCAAGGGTGTTACCACGTTAAAGCCAAGATTATTTTTTGGAAACGCAATAGACGTAGTTTTACAAAGAAAATGCTTGAGTGACAGTGTAAAAGACTTCCACAACTCATTGAAGGAAAAAGGACAACCTTATGGCGGGTACTACTTCTTAATGCGACCTGTTCTTGTTGTAACCGATTTAGAGCTTATTAAACGCATTTTGATTACGGACTTTGAGCACTTTGTCGATCACCCCGCATATATCAATGATGATGAGCCGTTAAGTAACCATATATTTTCCCTGAAGGGTGACAGATGGAAGCAGTTAAGGGCGAAGTTAACACCTGCGTTCACCTCCTCCAAATTAAAAATGATGTTGGGCTTGTTTTTGAAATGTTGTAAAGATCTGGAGGTGGAGATGGATAAAAAAATTATCAAAGATGACGTTGTTGATATAGGGAGCGCAATGGAAAAGCTTATTATGGACATAATAGGCTCTTGTGCATTCGGGTTGGAATGTAACAGCTTTAAAAGCACCTCAAGTGATTTCCATAAGTATGGATCTAGATTTTTTCATGAACCATCACTCAAGGGATCTGTAATGCATATTCTGTCACTCGTCGTGCCGGAGATTTTCAAATATATAAATGTTCGCGTTCTTGACGCGGAAATGACTGACTTTTTTACCAATCTTGTCAATGATATGGTCAAATATCGAGAAGAAAATAATATTATTCGTAAAGACTTAATGCATTTGTTATTACAATTAAAAAATGATGGAAAAGTGTGCGAGGAAGAAGTAGGGGACATAAAGGGTGAGCTCGGGGAGGCAGGCAACGTACCGTTGACAAGCACTGAGCTTGTGTCGCAGTGTTTTGTGTTTTTTATTGCTGGTGTTGAAACGACGGCATTTGCATTAACTATTTTAATGTACGAATTATCCACCAACCAGAAAATACAAGATAAGGTTAGAGAAGAAATCATCGCCGTATTAAAAAAGAATAGAGGAAGAATTACGTATGAAGCAATATTGGAGATGAAGTACTTGCACAAATGTATCTGCGGTAAGTAACAATTATGAAGTGCAAGTGCTTGATCTTGGTGTCATTGAATTTGTGGCCACTTACGAAAGTTTCCTTTTGGGAATTAAATATTACAGAGTCTCTAAGGAAGTATCCACCAGCGGGTGTGCAAACTAGAGTTTGCACAAAGAAGTACAGGATACCAGATACCGAAGTGATACTCAGTGAAGGAACACCAGTATTTATATCAACTCAGGGAATACAGTGCGATTCCTCCTACTACCCTAACCCTGAACAGTTTGATCCTGAAAGATTCGACCTAGACCAAAAATCTTCACTACCTTCCTGTGCATGGTTTCCATTCGGTGCTGGACCACGGTGGTGTATAGGTATGTATCAAAATGTTACCTTGGTGTATTTCTAATTCAGTCATTTTTAGGAAATCAATTCGGATTGATGCAAATGAAAGTTGGAATGATAACCTTACTGAGACGCTACAAATTCGATTTGCATCCATCCACAAAGATACCAATTAGTTTCGACCCTAAAACGTACCTCTTGAACACAGCATCACCCATATTTCTATCCATGAAAAAAATCTAGGTGTCCTCTACAATAGAAAAGACACACCTCCCCATGAGGCCTGAGGGATTGTAAACTTGTTCTGTTTTCTTAATGTACGCAACTGTTAAGGGAAAATTATTATGTCCGCTTAACAGGACGTTTATTTTTATTTTTGTTTATAGAATAGTGTGTTATGTGACATATAAAAAGTAAAAAAAAACACCACTAAACCACAATAATACATTAAAATCTCGAACACGTTTCAACAGCAAGGCTGTCCTATCTATACGAATTTACCAGTGAGAGTCTACGAACTCTGATTGACCTAAAGGACCTCCCTCAGCATTATTAATTAGGAAGCCTTTGTTTTTACGAATCTCTAAACAATAAACAATAAAATTTCTTGTTCCTGAGGCATTTTTTTGATGATAGAATCAAACCGACTCTAAAAACGCCTTGTTTATGCGACTTGACTACAATTGAACATTTTTTCCAGTTTAACAAAACTCCAATCAAGAATAATCGATTAAATTGATTACTTGATCTTAAAACAAGTTTCCACAAAGAAATTGATGTTCTGAACACATATTCGCACGTATAGGCCAAATACAAGTAAAACATAAAAAGGCAACGCTTACCTGTAAATTCAATGGGATCCAGAGAAGTGAGCTCAGTTCCCGGATCCATAAACCTGCAAACAAAAGAAAACTCCCAAGCCGCAGAGCTCGGAATGCAATGAACTGAACAATGCCTAAAGAGCCTCGCCTTACTCGTAGTAATCTTCTATCATAACGATACTGACTCGGCCAATCTCTCCAGAAGGAAGTGGTGGACTACCATAACATTCGCGTGTAAAACTTGACCATAACTTAACAGAGTGGGCATAGATAATAAACAGGTCGTTAAGTGAAGTTAACAAACCAATTGAATGCGATAGCTTATAACCCTGAAGGGGCAAAATAATGATCAATTATTACGATAAACAGTTACGAAAATTATTTCATCGTTAACGATCGAATCCTTGATGTCAAATTTAATGCATGGCCCAATGACCCAATTTCAGCAAATGGCGGCTCATTCTCAGCAGATAGAAGGGCTGTCAAAAGGTGTTGACACGTGCAGGCAACGGTGAATTTAACCCAAGGTTACGCACTCGTACGTCGACAGTAAAGCGTCTCCCAACTTAAGCTGGTCCTTACAGTTAGTTAAATTCGATTTGTACTGGTTCGTTAAACTGGTAACAATTAAAACTAGACTTTGAACCCTAAAAGAAAATCAAAAGTAACCTTCTTCGATGATAACCTTACCATGTGCATTCCTCTTCAATAAGAGGGCTAATTATGAATGAATGCGACAATCGTCGATAGGAAAGGTTTTACAATTATCAGCTGAGCCTAAAGAGAGAAATATTTCAAGTAAATGTAATCCAAATGGCGAGTACTTACGATAAGCCAGAAAAAAACGCAATTATAATATCCTCACTATATCGGAGTTAAAATCCCATGTACTAACGCCTAAGCTGTTTTTTCAACGATCAGTCACTTCGTATATTTCCCGATAGTAGAGAAAAATGATTGTGAACAATCGATAACCACTAATCGCAGCGCCCCAAAAATTGCGTGGTTAAAATTCCAACGTTAGATGGAGTCATCTCATCCAAGGTTACGACTATTACGAGGATCTTTCAACTCTACCGTTTTTAGAAGAAATGATGATAGGCCGATGGGCCTGTAATCCCTCGCCATGTCATATTTGACCTCGATCAACTCCAAACAATTCCAAAGAATTAACTCAACCAATTTTAATTAACATCTGACATAATTCTTATTTCTTGGGCACAAATAGAAAAGTCTGACATGAAAAAATTAACTGAATCGCACTTTTCGATGTCGTAAATCTCCTCAATACGATTACTTTGCTTCTTCCAGACAAGTTTATTATAATAACGACTAATTACGTCTCTAACTAGAGAAATAGGGCCGACTGGTCAAAATAAATGCGTAACAAATATCACCGTCATTAAAAATAAGCTCCGTTTAAACGGTGTCTCCCGTATTTAAAAGATCCACCACTTCCACCATAAAATAATCTCCTTCTTTATGCATTTCCACATAAACCGCCAATCACAATTACACGTGAGCTACAGCATGCGCAAAAATAGAAATCCTTATCGCGGTTCTAGTACATTATCTAAATTGTATAATTTACAAAAGCGATAAAATTAAAATGAAAATTACTTATCTACACACATTTCTAAAAGGAAAAACAAATACTAAAATACAAAATTGCAATCATTTCATTTCATTTATATTTAATATAAATGAAATGAAATGATGAAATGATCACACGCCTATAGTCTTGCTTCTATAATTCATAAAAAATCGACTCTTGTTTTAGCTCGACTGAAAAAATGATAATTTTTGAATGATTAGAGTGAAAGAAACATCGCTCTGCTTTGATTATATTAAGAGACACAATGAATAATTTATCAACATATGTAGCAACATGTGTAAAATTAATAGAAAACGAATAGAACGTGTTTTACATCGATAAAAAAAATGAATATTTCTGAAAAATTGTAGCCTGTAGCATCAATGGTAGTTACGTTAACGTTTGGAATTGTTAAGGCCATATGGTGAAGTTTCTGGGAACGAAGTACTACAGAAAAAATTTCTGAGGGTGAATTTTCTGGGAACCATTACTCCTGGGGAAGTTTTCTTGAAACCATATCTTTTGAGCGGAGAATATTCCGCGTACGAATGTTTCGAGGACGAATATTCTTGAGTACTCGGCTGAGTTTTCCGGGCCGAATTTAGGGCACACCGCAGCTGGGTAAAATCTTTCGAAATGGGTTCTACGTACAATATGAACCTAGAGAAATGACCTACCTCGACTGCAAAATGTATTGATCTGTTTCGAAGTCTCATCACACCATTCATTAACACATTTTTTTAATAAACGACAGAACAGAAACGCCCTCGTCGAACCAATAGTTATTTTTAGTTCCAGGTACCTATGAAAAATATATGTTAGGTAACTATATTTCGAACCCCTCTGCCATTCTAAACAAATCGTGTGCTCCTTTGAAAAAATGAAAATTACTTTAATTCCCGTAATTTGCGTTATAAACAACTCAAAAGTTTGTTCCAGTGAAAATCCTAATTTTGTTGCGTTGTAATTTATATTTTGTAACGAACGCCCCAAGCGATATCTCGACCGAAAAAATACCCTCGTATTCTTGTATTGCGTACTAACTGAAAAATCTGAGGCAAGTTTTCAGTTAACGTTTGATGCAGGACAACAAACAATGCCATTTAGATATTTATAATGTAATTTCCGTAGCGTTTTTAGATTGCTTTGAATCTCAATTTTCGACTAAGTTTGCTGCGCGCACTTAAATATGTATGATCACCTCACCATGAATAATAAATGCACAACTCAGTCTTCATAAATATCGTGTTCAATCTAGCGCGTCTAACTGAAAGTCAATTACGATCACTTTTTATTTTTATTTTTTAATTTCCCGTCAAGGTGTAGATTGTAGGTAGGTAGGTACGTGGGCGTGAGTTCCATGGTAACATCATTGCTGTGATAGAATAAAGTTGCGTACGAGCTTTGCATCCAACAAATTGGTGTTGGCAACTCTTCATTTTGACACTTAATATTGTCTGATGCACCTACGGCGTTTAACAAACAAGATGCAGGTGGAGAAAAGCGACACCAGTAACAAAAAAAAGTGATTCGGCTGGAAGAGGCAATTTGTGTAGGGAACGTTCCCCTAATCAACATAAAGTCCCCCAACAACCGGTTGTGCTAAAGGGGTGAGGAGGGAGAGAGAGCCGCTTTGTCCATTTTATAGATTTAACCCCACCATAAAAAATTGGAAGGTTATTGAAATCAGTCCAAAATTCGATTGTGAGATTTCACCGGATTTACACGTTTTAAGGCCCTAGGAGTCCAAAGAAGTGATTTTTTTAAAAATGTCCTATGTACGTATGTGTGTACTATGTGCGTGCGGCATGATTCTTGTACACAAGGTTCAGTCGAAACTACCAGACCGATTTGGTTGAAATTTGGAACAGATATTCCCTTAAATGGTCTCGAGAGTGGAAAAGCTTTTGCAAGCAATTCAAAAATGGCAAATGCCTTTTTTAAATTAAAATTAATATTTATTGAATTACGTATAACAGACCGATTTGGGTGAAATTTCTAAAAAGGTAATGGTCCCGACATCTGAGAAGATTTTGGAAACAATTGAAAAATAGGGAAATCCTCTTTTGGTTATAAAAATTGTATTTTTTATTAAATAAGGAAGTAACCAAATTTGATTGAGAGAAGGTCGTAAATTTTAGGTCAGAAGTACCACTGCCAGGTGAGGTACCGTACTTGATTAAGGTAGCAGACTCGTCTGCCTTTTTGGAGCCTACTGACAGTCCACATTTGTACGCAGAAATACTGTTTAATGGTTATAATCAATATAATATGTCTCGGAATTCTTTTTTACTTAAATACTTAAAGATAATTTGTCCAAGTTATTTTGTAAAATCTTACTTTTATGGTCTACTACGCAGTAAATATGTAACTATCTATATACCTACAGACTGTATTAGGATATGTCATATGTCCGCAATATATATATATATATTACCTAAAGCAGCACCTTTATTCACAGAATTTCGCAGAACACAAAGAAAAGTGTAAACTCCTATACCGAAGTAGGTATAGCATTTTAGCCCCAATATGGCGACCGAAACCAGCGACCAATCAAAAACGAGATACCCGATTGTCGCCACTGTTCTAAATTAGTCACCTGTACCTATACCTAGAAACGATTGGACTTAATGCCATAAACTTGTGAAAATACAATAAGAGCATTAAGTGTTTCTAATACAAAGCAACCCGCAATCCCCTTATATACCATGGTATATTTTAGCTTTATCGGGTCATTGGAATACGTCACACAGTTCACTTATTTTCCGAATCCACACATTATACATTTTGATGTCTGCTTTCAGGATCTAAGGGCGGAATTTTTCTCCACGGAATGACACACCTTCTAATGAGCCATCAACAAATTCCGCGTTATGCACTTGATTCCGCGTTATGCACTTGAGCTAAGCGCACGCTTTCGCACCGCTGCAAGATATACGTTTAATAATTCTT